AACATTTTCAAACCAATATACTAAAACAGGAATGCTCAGAGTGCAAAAGTATGATAGTTATTACTTTCCAGTATACACATCTCTGTTAATACTATCCCTCACATGTTCTACTCCCAATTACTCCTGCGTAAAATGGTGAGCCTCTTTTCATGTTGACATTCAGACTAAAATCATGTGACAGGCTGTTAAAATTGGCTGTTGCATACTCTTTCGCCGGTCTGGGAAATGTGTTTAATTAGCTCTCATTCAAGCAACAATGCAGATTTCCCAGTGGGAGTGAAACTATTTCGACTCTGCCATTAAAAAATAGGGGTGTTTTCAGCAAAAAACGAATAACCCTGGAATGCACACAAAATACTGAATTTCGGAACAAATCGTGCATTACTTACAGCAGCAGAATACCACAGAAATATCAGACGAAACATGAAAACACTATATATTGTATTTCGGCCTGAACCCTCTATATTGCAATTCAAGGAAATTAACCCCATATGTGCATCCATTTCCCACCTTGGTATCACCCACCCCTGAAAACAAACTCTTAATACCACGCTGAAGCGTTTGGTAAAAAACAATCCTGGCCCACCGCTACCATGGCAACAGCCAAAGTCTTGTAATAGCAGTGCCCAAATGATCATGCCTTTTATTTTGGCTACGTTGCGCACTGGTAAGAGATCACCGGTGCCGACATTGTTACCACTGTCAACGGAATCCCAACGCAGCTTTGAACTTTGAATAAAATGTAAATGCTGCTTCCAATCTAGAAAATACTATCGCAAAACGATTGGAAATTATACATTTAACGGTTGAATACGTCCTAACAATAAAATAAAGTGACTTCTAATGACTGCCATGTTATTTTGCAAACCTCGTATAAGGTGCCCGGTTTTAGTTATAAACAGACGTTAGCTTCACGTTCATGTCCCTTCCATGATAACAGCCGAAAACATATTGCTTGTTTTTTACCGGTTTTCATTGGCAACCGAAGTATTTTTATTTTGTAAACAAATTTTCGTCTGCTATTTTTATTCAGTTCAAATCGTTCAGCAACATTTTTGGCATATTAGGTGTACATCACATGGAATACTACGATTGAGAGAACTTGATGTATGTTGACTGAGTTTTATCATAGTACGAAGTACCAGGAAGTTACTCAGTTCCAAATAAAGATTACCAACGTCAATTGAGCAACATTTGACTGGTAATCAAGATTCATGTAATCCATGGCTAACAAGCAACATCACAAGCGAAGTTGTAGCATGCAGTAAGTCATCCCGTCAGTGGAGTACCGCAGTAACACGGCATGTTTGCCATCAGCATTGTATTCAAACGAATCACGTGGTGTGCCGTTCTCGTTCAA